ATCAAACTGTTTGAACTTCGGGGAAAACAGCGAAAAGTCAAATCAAAGCCAAACCTTGTGAAATATCTCTAAATTTCTTGTGTTTGGATGATGCTATCTGGGAGTAAGTGGACTTTAAGTTAGGTGCTTAAGTTTGAGCGAATGCGTGCATTTGGTATGCTTCATGCGCACTCATACTGAAAACATCATGACTACCACGATGAATAGAATAAAGAGCTGTACTTATTGGCGAAGAAAAAAAAAAGATTCCAGTGCAGCAGAAGGGTGTCAAGGCTGCCAGGTCCCTGTAGGTCTTCACTGTAAATCCACACATTAATCAGAGTCGGCAAGGAGAGATCAAAGGAGCGTGTTCCATCTTTACTCAGAGCAGCACTTTGATGTTTGTGCGTGTGTGTGTGTGTGTCTGTGTGTGTGTGTGTGTGTGCGCGCGCGTGTGTGTGTCCCTGTGTGTGTGCGTGTGTGTGTGTGTGTGCGTATTAGAAACAGAGCAAGAATAAGGAGGAGTTAGTAAGAACGAAAGAGCATGGCTGAAAATGAGGATTTGAGAGACAGCCTGAAGATAGAAAAACTCATGTGTGGATCCTGTTGGGGTTTGACAGATGCTAAATCATGCTAACAGTAATCAAGACCTCTTCTAACTTTCCGAAACTGGTTAAAACTTAAAGCATCCCTCAACAAAATACTCATCATCAAAGCATCCATGTCGCTGAAAGATGCAGACAGCTGCCTAATACATATTTGGGCAGCAGTGCAGAGTCAAAACAGCACATGCGTGTTGTGTGTGAGTGCTTGCTGCAGTTCATACATGTGCCTGAGCACAAATGTGCCATCCCCGTCATTTGTCACCACCAGATTTGGAGTAATAGGCAATACTCTTCTGCCCCATTGTGGTCCTCTGATTTTACTGCATTACGAGACCAGTGTTCACAGTCCCAACCGACTGTGGTGTTCCACAATCGCATACAGTGGCAGCTGAGCCTGCAGTTGCCATGGTGACACAAGGGCTGCAGCGGAGGCTTTAAAAGCATTGTGTATTATTAGTTTCTATGCTGACACTTCTGTGTTTCTTCCATTCTCAGAATCAGAAGCTTTTAGTGCCTCGTCCTGCTTGAACAAGGTGACGGATCCATGAAGTGCTGTCAGCCGAGCATCATGGGAATTTATCTGGACCCAGCAGTGCAGGTCAAGCATCAGTCAAGTACAACTGAACCATCACTGCATGCTCTACATACACCTCTGGATTTAGCACTTTAAAGTTAGCAAGGTTGCCCTTGGGCTTTTTTATTTCTGCACATCTCATTAACTAAAGCCTTTCTTTATATTTTGCCATGGCTATATAAAAAGAAGGAAAATTTACCCAGTAAACAGAGCTAATACATTTAACACTGTAAATCTAATCTAAATAACAAGAAATTGGCCTTGCAGTTAGTAAGTGTGTCAAACCTGGAACGTTTTTTATGAATTTTCTTCAACAATTCATGGACCTTTCTGCCACCTGCTGGCTAAAGTATCAAACGTTCACTATTGAGTGTGTTGCATTTGTCACATTGAAAGACAAAACCTCATGTTTACTTTCAGATATAAACAATACAATAATATAATCATCTGATAGATGACAAATTTGCAACCAAGTTTGTGCCATGTGATGTGTCACAGTGGGAAAACATGTATATGTTAGTTCTAATTGGCTGCTCCATGTAGCTTGAATTAAAACCAGATCGACTTCTGCTAAAATAGTTTGGAATAAAATAGTTGTAAGTTGTTTGATGCCTGATGTTATCTAAATTCCCAGTTTTGGTGATTAAAAAGGGATCACTACCAGGGCCACTGCTCTCTTTGGATTCCACATGTTTTTAACTGCCTCTTTCGGCCTACCCGTAGTATTTTCCAGGTTCTTCTGCAGTTTGTCAACCGCAACAACATCCAGTTGTTTTATCCATGTGGATCCCGAAGTCACATTGGAAAGTAAGCCTTCATGTTAATAGTTCAATCTATTGCACACTGCTGGACAACTTTCTCAACATCATGTTCTTATGTTCTCTGGAAAGTTAATCCTTTTAGCAGAAAATCTCAATGTTTTTCCTTCATCTGTCACCAGATGCAGGGGGATTAAGGATACTGCCCAGTGCATAAGCCGTTCACGCTACATTATTTGAGGGCATGTCTGTTTCTCATGCAGAATATCGTGAAAACACAAATTGAACCTTATTATTTTCACTTGCTACTGCTTCATTCAGAGCCAGAGCTCTGATGACTGCTGCAAAGAAACCGGTGTTCGGTTTAAACTGGGGTCAGTGGTTGCCATAGGCTTAGAGAGAAGAGTCCCAAAGAAATATTCAGATTATCTGTGTTGCTCCAGACACAGCTGAGAATAGGATGAAAGAAACTTAACACTGTTTCCTCATTAATCTTCTTTCATTAAATGTTGAAACTGATCTGATGCATTTTAATGTTTTTTTAGGTGCAACCAGCAATCTTTTTGGCCAAAGTTCACCAGATCATACAATCACAGATTAAATCATAACACCGGTTCCATACACACTTTGGTGGTTCAACCAAATTGAATAAAACATCAACCAGCTTATGTGGGGTTAGTGCCAACTCCATTCCATGTTATCTGGTTTGTGTATTTAAAAAAAGCTAAAATGGTGTATCATATGGCAGTCATGTGAAGGACTTAGAATATTTGCTTTCTCGAGAGTAAGGAGGGATATCAAATATCTCTGTCCCTCCCTTTGCTGTTCCATTTTTCCACAAATGTTTGTAGATATTCTCTTGGAATCTATTTGAGTATTTGTGCTTTGCAGTGTCAATCATGAATCAATATAATTAAAAAAGCTAATAGGAATGGTCTGCACTGCCTACCTGTGCTGCTAAATATATTTAACTCATCATTGACAGGTTTGAAGGGAGGGAGATGGGTCGATACCACCTAATGGCTACATGTTTTATTAATTCTATTGTATCTTATCACATTTTGATCATGTATTACTGTGTATTACATACAAACCTTTCTGCCTTTTAAACCTCGGGATCCTTTGGCATTAAGATAAAAGTAACAATTAACCTTTTTGAAGCATCTGTTTCAGACCTTGAAATGTACATGCTAGAATGGCTGATGGCGTGGATGTCCCCTGCTGCCACCACTTCATTCATCTCTGTTTCTGAAACCAGGGCCCTGCAAACATACTCTTAATATTCCAATACAATTCCATGGGAGTTTTCAGCCCATGAAGTCGCAGGAACCACTTTTTCCTGTTTGTTCATCCCTTGTTTGAGCAGTGATCTCTATTTGTTCAGGGCTACATTCTCTGTTTACAGTAGTAGGAATGGAGTTACCTGGTGTATTAGCAGTAGATTTATATTATCCTCCTTTGTTTGCCTTACAAATGTAAACCTTCACGCACAGTCATCAGATTTTGGGAGGACATGATGCTAGATAACCTCAAATAAAGTTAATTTTCAAGAGCCGCTGACTAAGTTCCTCTTTTTATTGTGCATGCAGAATAATGGCTAATTGGATTTTGTATTTCAGCACATTAGAGGACGATGTATCACTCTCTTAGGAAGTTTAAAATCTGCTGCACTTAAAAGTTGGAACTCCGTTAGAAAATAATTCAGGTAACCGAGGCTCCACAAAAAGCATTTGCTCACTGCGCCGTCTCGTGCCTTCCCCCCTCCTCTTCCTCCTCCTGGGCAGGTACACTGAGTACAAGGCTGGATTTGTGAATTAAATATGGGAATAGTATGAAAGGTGAAGCAGAAAGCCTAGAGAAAACCAACTTAATGGCCCTGGATATGCTCTCAGCCAAAGGAGGGCATTTGATAAAAGGTTTGGATATGCTTACTGTGACTTTACCTCAAATAACACAGCCTCTTTTGAAGATTATTACCAGAGCCAATCAGAGCTTAACAGCTCTCTCAAATTAACTTGCTGAAAACTCAGGTGTGGACATCTCCAGACATGCATTTGCTGTCCTGTTTATTCCCTATAGGATCACTGGAGGACTGAAGCTGATCTTATCTGGCGAGAGGCGAGGTACACCCTGGACAGGTTGCTGGTCAACCACACGGCCACGCAAAGAACAACCACAAAAATACAAAAGTTCCCTCTTACAGACAAATACTCTAACCTCCATGTTTGTGAACTGTGGGAGGAAGCCGGAACACACTTGAGGGGAAACTCCAAACAGAAAGGCCACCGAGGATTTGAAGGAGGAACAGCATGCATTGTTTGTGTATTTAGGCCTAATTGAGGTAGAGACTGGTGTAATGTTCCATACTCGACTCCAGGTGGCTCCCTAGGCTTCACTTTTTAATTGCTTCATCACTGAATCAGCCCACCTGTTTCTTAACTTCAGCAAATGTTTGAATGGCAAAGGTTTATGAATATCTGTGTTTTAATGTGATTTTTCAAAAGGGCTATTAAGGACTGAGTTCATAATATAATTATATCAAGCGCAATTAGTCAATCTGTGTCTGTGACATGTTGGATAAGAGGTATAAAATGTTGATACCGTTCGCATAATTGTCGTTTAAATGTGTTTGACCCATAATGTTCCAAACAGAAAAGCTAAACCTCTGCATTAACCAGTAACTGCGCCCGTGTGGCCTTCTGCTTTAAGATGATTGATACGAAAGACTTTTCCTGCCAGCCATCCCATTTGTTTGAATAGACAGATTCAACCGCAGCAGTCAGAAAAAGTCACGGCCACATTCACCAAACTTTGGGGAGTCTGCTCCTGCAGCTCCATAACACACTGAATCCCTTCTCATGCAGGCTCTAATTGACTTTTCTGGACCGACTGCCACATTAAAGTTTACGTTGATCTCAGGGAGTCCTCTTAAGGTTTCATATAAATGAATCACAACAGAGCTCTTGGTTTTGCAGACGTGGGGGGGTTATGACACAATCGTGTTACCGTGTGTTTGTTTAGTTGTGGTTTTATGAAAGAAACTGGGAAACAGTCCTCTCTCGTCCGGTTAATTAAAACGCCCCCCTGATTGGACGGACGGATAATCCCGGCGGGCCGCGTGCTCCTACTAACTTGCTGGCAGGGCAGAGCGCCAGTCACAATCTGCCCAAGGCGAGGGAGGGCACAGAAGACGCGCGAGAGGAAAAGCGCTTTACAAAGGGGACGCGAGCGCTCCGGTCTCACTGAGCTCAATTAGACAAGTGTTGGTGAACGTGGGCTATGCGCGCAACTAGGGGGGAGCGCAGTGTACAGAGGAGGTGAATGCACGTAGAGGCTCTGCTTCGGATTCACAGCCTCTTTCCTGAAGAGTCTCAGCACAGGCAGAGGAAAGGAAGGAGTGAGAGGGACTCCAAGAAACACGGCAACTCTTGGACAGAGAACTACGCCAGCAGTTCTCCAAAAACAAAAGCTCGGATAAAGGGGGACAGTATAGGCAAGAGTAGACTTTTCCCCGGTCAGAATCTGCTCTGGAAGAGAGAAAATGAACGTCAGCGATGAGAATCTGCTCAAGTCAATCAGCAACGACGCGCTCCTGGACCTGACGCAGCGCTACGGCCAGTCTGCGTTCGGCTTTGGCGCTGGCCATGGTGCTGGGAGCCCCGGCCGGTTCCCTCTCACGCCGACCACAGACTTCCTCTCCGGGCAGACGGCGAAGTCCAACGAGAGCGGCGGAGAGCACACGAGCGACGACGAGGACGCGTTCGACTCTCTGGAGTCCCGCAAGAGGGGCTCCCCGTTTGGGGACGACAAGCCCGGGGGCCCACTCGCCAAAAAGTCCAAGGAGCAGAGGTCCCTTCGGCTCAGCATCAACGCCCGGGAGAGGAGGAGGATGCATGACCTGAACGACGCGCTGGACGGTCTGCGCGCCGTTATTCCCTACGCCCACAGCCCCTCGGTGAGAAAACTCTCCAAAATAGCCACTCTTCTCTTGGCCAAGAACTATATCCTCATGCAGGCTCAGGCTCTGGAGGAGATGAGGCGGCTGGTGGCGTATCTAAACCAGGGACAGACCATAACTTCGCCAATCCCCACCGCCCTGGCGCCCTTTGGACAGGCTGCCGTCTACCCCTTCTCGGGTTCCGCACTCGCCACCTGTGCCGAAAAGTGCAGTACTTATTCCGGGGCCCCGTCGAGCCTCTTCAAACACTGCAACGACAAGCCTTGATTTGATTTCACACTCTTTCCCGAACTTTTACCTGTATTGCACCCATGTTGGTCTCGCCCCCCCTTCACTCTAGTTAATTTGAAAATCATTCTGTGGAAAATGACACAATTTTAGTCTGATGCATAATCTTATGATATGGTTATAGGTATACTCATGCTGCAGTGTTACATCCAGAATTAAATCACGCGATAGGAATGAAACTGTTTAGGCCTTTTTTGTAAGATGACGTCCCTGTCACAGTGGCACTCCTGCTTCTCAGAAACCACAGGCCATGTTCAAATTATAACTTTAGCGAAATTTTGAGTAAGCTTCTGTTTTCATTTGTAATCTATGCAACATTCAGTGACGACGACACAAGCATTCTAAACGCCAATAAATGCGATCAAATGTGGCTATTTTGAATTGACTCCCATGGCTGATTGTATGATTCAATGTGGAGACAGAAAAAATCTGGTGTGATGTTATATTTTATGATGCAACGTGCTTGTTTTCGGTTCAAGGTATTGCATATCTCACATGATTGTATTGTTCAACTTTGAAGAATTTCTTGCTTCAAACCCGGTTATACTAATGGTTACATAACTTCAGTCTATTAACTGAATACGCGTTCTGGTTGTGTTGCAACATGGATTTCTTATATTGTTTATATGTCTTTATAATTAAAACACATATCTATGCTCGGACCCGGTTTGCTTCATTTTCACTTCAACAAATGTCCATTGCGTGAGAATGTAAAATTACGGCAACAACTGCATAAGAAAAGTATCTTATTTAATGAAAATTATATAGATAATAAACCTTCACATGTTTTGGTCAGGATATACAATTAATGCAAAGCCTAAACTGACCTAAAATTACACCCCAGGAAAAAAAAACACCTAAAGAGATGACTCTCACACTTCTAAAATGTTTCTCACCCTCATATAAACCCTCCAAAATGAGTTGGCAACTTTCTGTTCTTGCTTGAGAAGCTTTTGACGTGAGAGGATCGGTCTAAACTAGTTCAGAGGGGCTGGTGGGTCCCTGTGCCGCGCGCTGGGGTCGGTGGCGCTGAGGGGAAGGGCGCACGGGTTGCCTGGGGCACCCCCGACCTGTCTCTGGGTATTTGGGTGATTGTAGGCTGCCTTGGCGGACTCTTATAGACTGCGCAGCTATTAACGCGATTTCTGCTCCTGTCACCTCGGAAGAATTAATTCAGTGAACGTTACAGGGACATTTTTCCCCCCTTTTTTTTTGCAGGTTTGCAGTGAAGGCTTTACGTGTTTGTGCTGGTATGTGAGGTAGTCAGTGCGATGATATATTTTATTTGTAGTCATTTGCTTTTTTTTATAAACATTTGTCCAAGAAAAGGACCATTTCCCTGGAAATTATTTTCATAATATTTAAGATATTTAACACTGATATTGGTGTTATGTTGTTAATAATATTTTATTTTGTCACCTCTTAAACTCCCCAAGTGCAAAATCAACGCCAAAAAAAAAGGAAATTATTTTTTTTCTATAATACTCACAATATTACTTATTATTATCAATTCGGTTTGTCATTACATTACATTGTCAAACAAAACTATTGTTTTATTTTTATAACAATAAGCAAAGGTGAATAATCTAGTCACTACCAATAGTTTATGTTTGAAATTAAACGAGTTTCAGAAATAGTCATTCTAATCTCACAGGTACTGTACGTTTATCAACACTTTTTGTTGTTGTTTTCATTAAAACAGCAAACAAAAAAATCTGAATACAATTACTGGATTTGTCTATTAATACCAGTCTGGGATTGACCTGTTCTCCCCAGTGACTTTCCCACAGTTTAGAAACATGTCACAACAACAGGACACCAGTGGCATCATAAACTGGCCTTCTGATGACACACGCTTTGTCTGAGGCCCCACAAGACTGTTAGGGATGCAGGGATGAAATGTGACAAACATTAAAAAAGATTTTAGGTCTAGTGCCCTGTGCTCCATCAGTCTCTGTACAGCCTAATTGCCACAAATGAGGATTCTGCTCTCCAATACAGATACTTGGGTGGTCACTTTTTCCCCTATAGGCCTCAAGTCGAGCTGCTTAGATATATAATTTACTTTGTCACTGCATTATCTTAATGACTGTCAGTATGTATGGTGGCAGAGTGACGATATCAGTGAATTATGACAGATCTGTGATTTTTCTGGTACTTTAATAATGATCTCTGACCTCTTTGCTTGTAGAGATAGAATGAGGATAATAGGGTTAGAAACATTGGAACTACCTTTTTTAGTTTAGTTGTGATCATATTTTTTTTCTGTGATAAAGACAAGTATCAATTAATAAAAGGGAAAAAGGTACAAATGCCAAATGTGATAAAGAATGTTTTGACAGCACATTTGATACGCTGGAGGAGAGAACTGAATTCTGTTCTATTCATTTCTGGTGAAAACACAAGAAACCTTTAGTTTCACACATTTGATACAATCTCAGATTAAAAGAAATTTACATTAAACAAATATGACTTGACAGAGAGTCATCTACCTATCAGATTATTTTTATATGTTTGCACTGGAATTAAAGTTAAAGTTGAGATGAATCTATGAGACTGAATTCGTGTAACATCATTGCAAAAGAATAAATACTAAACAAAACATTTTAATTAATTGTTCACTTAACTACTTTAGGGGCAATAATTAATAAAAGTCAAGATGTAAAAAAGCGAGACAATGATTTTGTCTTCTTACACGGTAATACATCATTGAATACATAAATAAATAACTAAGAGCTGTTGGTAAACGATAAAAGAAAGACAGTCATTCTTACTAAAGCTATATAAGAAGTATACCTCGGTTGCAACAGACTGGTCAGCTCCACTTTGGTGGAAGGTGAAATTGACTGTAACACACATTATGAAAAATCTGAACACATTTCAACTGCATCGTCATTGTTCTCTCCCCACAAAAACTGTCAAACAGGCAGAATTTTATCGCTTATTGTCTCACATTTTTCTTCAATAAAACCTTTTGATAAATCTGTAATTTACAGTATAAACGGCTGAGTCGAGGACGCTCAAATGCTAAATAAATGCAAGATGACAAACTATTCCAAACTACCCTTTTCCTGTCTGTTCTCACCTTTTGTCTCTCGCCGACAGTTTTTACTCAGACAAACACCCTGCACTAGTGTCAGTGCTCTACCACTCTCACGACAGCCCAGTGTGGTGCAGGAGTACGGACAGACTGTGTGATGTCTGTAAACATTTGTGTTGGCTCTCAGTGGGATAGAAAGGGAGTGATTTCATTAGCATGGCTGGGAGCTCTGAGGTATGTTTGTGTGCTTTTCTCAAACCCGATGGTATAGTACTAAAACCATATGCCCTTAAGTGTGTACCTCCGCCTAATTCATGTGACAGCGCTGTTTTCTCTAATTAAGTTCTCTTCATGTGCAAGCTCATGTGTCTGATGCACATTGCGGAACTCCATCTCTCTCACACACACAGCCCCACACACTCAGACTGCTCTTACAACAGGGGCCTTGAAGGAAAACAAACATGCTTCAGCTCTCATTACGCTTACAAAAGGGGTTTTTAAAAAAAAATATTTCAATTTGCACACAGAAGCGGCGTTGATGCTTTGGCTGTGAAGTGGCACGGATAACGTTTTCTTTCTTCCTTTTTTTTTTCTCTTTCTTTGGACAGGTTCATAAGGCAGATGTTGAGATAAACCATACACCTAGAAAAATGGGTGTTTGTGTCTAAGAGAAGGGCTGTTAAGAAAAAAAAAAAAGAGGTCACAAGACATGGAGGAAGAGAGGGCACGCTCAAGAAAAGAAAGTGCCCGTGGAGGCTCCTGAAGGATGCCCCCCCCCCTACGTTCAGCCCACCATGGACCCCGACAACTTCTCTGCCTGACTATGACATCACACTTGGTCGTCCCTCCCAGCCCCGCCCTGTCGGAAGAGATGAGCGGGCGAGTCAGTAGGTTCTGAGGAGCCATGTGATTTGGGGCGACGTTGCTGCAAGTGTAGCAGGATGGGCCAGGTCCCTTCATTTGTTAATCAGATGTCCAAAGGGGGGGGGGGGGTGTGGAGGAGGGATGTCTGTTTGAATGTGTCTGCGTGCTTGTGCATTGTGTGTACGTTGTGGTCAGGATTCGTGCTCACGGAGCTGAAAAATTGGTTGAAAAAACCTGAAACATGGCAACCGTGCAAAGCGTTTTGTCCATCGCTGCTAGGTAACTGACACTATGTGTGGTGGAGCCAGACAGAATGGCAGGGGCCAAACGGGGCCTGGTGGGAGAGAATGGAGACGGGGGATGGACGGGTGGCACTACATGAATGCACTCTGTGCCCCGATGTCATATTTTCATATTTGGACTCTTTATAACTGCTGTCTGAGCATTCTGATCTCAGCCACCTGGATTCTCATGTACCTAATGTTGTTGGGAGGCTCTCCTTTCACAATGTGAAACCCTTTTTTTTCTCCTTTTTCTCCTCCGTGTTCCTCCTGCTCCCAAAAGCCCCCCCCCCCCCCCCACAAACTAAAAATCACATTGCCCCGTCACACTCACACTTTCTCTTTTAGCTTGTTTCTTCTTGACAGAGGATATGAGCTGACAAATGGGGGCATCCGTTATGGTAGCACTGCCTAATCTCTGTAATGGTCCCACAGACACGGGGCTGGTGGTGTTCGAACAGACACGGACAAAGACACACAAATACACCACAACTCAATGGACTAATATACATGCGAAAGCCCTGAGGCCGTCGGTCCCCTCTCGATTAAGTCTTTTGCACACACTGTAAAGTCCGTCCCTTACATATAAGACTACTCTCAGTATGTCGTTTCCTCTAACTGTATCTCTCACACATGCACATGCACGCAAACACACACACACTCACATACACCGTGCCCTCTTTTCATCACTGCTGTGGACTAGTTCCTGAGCAGTTACTCTATTAACTACTTGCCAAACCCAAGACATTACTCTAATCTTTAAATGTATCTTCACTTTTAATAAACTGTGGGGA